TATATATATATATATATATGTGTGTGTGTTTTTTGTTGAAATATCAAATATGCTTCCACAATATCTCCATTCATTCATTCATTTATCCAATTTAAGAGATGAAACAAAAATGTAAAAGGTAAAATGTTAAATTACAAATAAAACTTGACAACTTGCCCCATATTTAATGTTACACAGTACACAGGGCTGTTTTTGTAAGGATTTACCACAGGCAGGCGCTCTTTCGCTATTTTAGAGGCTTTAAAACCCTTTCAGAGACGAGTTATTGCAGATGTTTTAAGGGAAAACGTTTATGACGCATATGCGGGTCATGATGACGAGTAAATAAAAATAATACCGCGTCTGCGCGCAGCGGACTGAAGGCGCCTGTCGTTACCATGACAGCACAGTTAGTAAACTCCCCCGTTACCGTCGGTCACCGATCAGCGGAATCCGCGCTGCAGAAGAGTGCGTGACGCGTCGCGTGCGCTGCTCGTGCAGACCGAGAGAGAATCAGAGAGGAATCGATCCTGCGGCGCGATGGGAACGTTCCGGAGCGCAGCGGTCGGTCTGGATGAGGAAGAGGAAGAGGAGGAGGAGAAGCGCTGGGAAGTTGAGCGTCTTCCTCCACTGCTCGAGGACGAGGTGAGTTTGATTGATCAACTGATTGACAGTCTCTCACGAAGACATTCTATAGAAATATTGATATCACACATATTACATATTACTGTAACATTACACGAATCTCTAAATGTCTAAATCTAATAAAGTCTTAAAGCACTAACCAAAAAGTACACACACACACACACACACACACATTACAGTCAGGTCCGTATACATTTGGACACAGGCACAATTTTTTATTATTTTAGCTGTTGACCAAAACATATTCAAGTTACAGTTATATAATGAATATGGGCGCTTCTCATTTGGGAGTCACACTCATGGTCTTCGCGGTCAAAAGTGACCGGACACCTGAAATGTAACTTTTTTTCTTCTTCAGTAAAATCAATCTAATATATTTTTGTTCAATAATTTTTCTTTTGTATTCTGAGAGAATTTCATGGTACTAATTAATATTTATGCAATAATTATGATCAATTTTCCCATTGAAAATAGTACAAAAATGTTTTTTTTTTTTCTAATTTTTTAAAATTATTTTTCAATTAATGCAGTATTTCAGGTTAAAATAGAGACTAGGCCTTTAAAATCCAATTTTTGAAGGTAGAATAGCACCTCCTGGTGAGAGCAAATAAAAATAAAAACCTGTAATTTCATGGTGTAACCACTAGATTCCTATATAGGACTCTATAGAGAGGCTTGTGAATTCCCTAGTTGTTTTTATACATAATTGTTTACTTTTATTAGGTTGTGGATTTAAATGTATATTAAGGCATTCTCAAAGACTACTTTTTGTCAAGGTTTATATTTGTTGTTTTAAATGTTGATTTGAAGTGTAGGTTTTTGCATTATTATTACTACATTTAAACCTGAACACAGAAAGCAGTTTATTACACAAAACAGTTAGTTTCAGGTTACAGTTTTTTTATTCGATTGCGCTGCTTTTCCATTGTTTTTCTATGTAAACATGGACGTGTTTGACTGTTGCGCTCGCGTCTCTTGCAGCGTCTCAAGCGGGATTTATACTTTGGCCTAGCTCTGCTCCGCGAGCCTCCACTGACTGCGCGACCAACTTCCCAAATGGATGAGGCTTTTATACTTGTCGCGTTCGCCGTTGTCCTATTCTTTGAAACGACAGGGGGCGACGAGGAGTAATTGTCCTCTAAAACCATCGGGAATCACCGGTGAGAAGAAGTCATTTGCCAGAAAAAGACTTCTTATGTGATGAATGAGTTGATGAATTAATAATTTCTTTATGTACTTTATGTACAAATTTATCTTAAGCTTTTGGCTTTATTTCGCATCAAACACAAGACAACTTTAAGCAAATAAAGCAAATAGAGTATCTAAATGAATTCTAGTTCTATTTTTATACAATAAAAATAAAACGTACTTCAATTATAAAGCCTTCGACAAACTATGCAAAAAAACGATGCATTGTTTTTCCCTTAAAGCGTCAAAAAGCACCAGATTGAGTTTGAACTTCACATCAATTTGCTTCCGTTTCTGCATGTTCGGCTAGAGTCGCCTTGAAGTTGTGCATCTTCGGAAGCGAAGCTGTGCGGAAAGTTACAAAAAATGCCGTGCACACCGCTACGCAAAATGAGGTTGCGCGTACTCAAAGCGAACTTGCAGATGCGTCGAGTATAAATCAGCCTTCATGCATGAAACAGCAGTCTAAAAACACGGCACTCAAGTTGAAAGAAATTCACTCCCATCTTCTTGCATGATTTTTCTATTGCACTGCCCGTGTCGCATCTTTGTCAATGCAAAATTGCATTCTGTGTGAATGGCACCTAGCGATATTCTACTTATGGTCCTTCACTGAGCGCGTCACACATGAGCAGTTCATCACGTGCGCCAACATGCGGTTTCATCATTCTTTTCTCTTTACTGTTATCACTGGCATAGTCAAAGTGTCTAATTATAACGTTTGGTAATATTTCTATTCAAAATCACGATTTTTCGATTTCTAAAAAATCAAATCATGGCAAAACATTAAATTCG